CACTACTGCCTACTGTATCGCAAAAGGTCTCAGTCAGCCTGCATTTTCCCCCTCCGCGTCTCCTTCGCATTGCTTCGTTTCTGATCTGATTTCACCCTCTTGGCAGATTCACAGGCCGCGTCCCCCCTTCCCTGCCCCCCATTCTTCTAAAAAACCCCAGTCTCACAATGTGTCCACAGAAAAGCAAACAACAGCGATACATTCCGCCACAGTCATTCCTTCTCTTGCCCGTCCGCCCCCTTCCCACGTCAGCCAGCAAGGTTGTGTCGGTGACTTGAGCGGGCCTGACCGAGGACAGATTTTCTATGAGTCGAGGGGCAAACTCTTTCACCGAGACACATACCCACACAGCCAGCTGGACGCGTTGCCCTGAATCGCCGACGACGACACCCCCCCCTCCCCCTCTGAGGATTTTTCAAAAAGCGCGTGTCTGCCTCTGGCCGAGACAGGGGGAGAAATGCTTCCTTCGTTGCGCAGTGAAGCGTCCCATTCCAACCCGCCTGACGGCCCCGGGCACAGCGATGCGCCTTCGCCGGGAATGAGGAGGAGTGGAACCGCGCCGTCCGTGTCTGTCTTGGATGATATGCAGCCCTGTGAGGTGAGACGCGGGGCCTGGGCCAACTCTGGGAGAAACGATGGCAATTTGCTCGCTTGTCAGTTGTTCCCTTTGGTGGTCGTGTTGCGTCGCGATCGACATCGACGTCGCAGACTTGCATCCAACACAACCTCTCGTAGACCATCACGACGATGGCATCATGTCACTATAGGATCGCAAGGCGAAATGCTCATGGAAGTGTATTCAGGCTGTCAAACAAAAGCAAAGAAATCCTCCGCGTCAATTTACCCCCCAAGTGATGCTTCACCCCACGGGTCTCCCGCGCTCATGCAATCATCCCACGCCCAGCCATCCCGCGCCATACCCAAAATCTTCCAGTGCCTCCCACCCCCCCGGCCTCTTTCCCTGGCCTTCTTCCCTTGCTCGAACCCTGCTCGATGACCTGCGCGTCATGAGATGCGACGCAATGCACGATAGCCTCCGAATGGCGTCAAGGGTTTGCCCGTCAAAAGAGGCATCGTGGGAAAACGCCTCCCAGGCCAGTCGCCCACGTCATGGCCTCGCCTCGCGAAAGAGGGAAGCGGGACGAGCATTGACGACAGGCATCATCGACAGCCGATCAAGCCGACAAGGTTCCACTCACCCTACCCTACTTCATCCCAACTTCCTTGCACCGGAACAAGATCAAGACAAGCAAAAGTAGGAAACGTCAGGCGAAGCAATAGGCTCGAAATTCAACTGGGGGACTACCATACTGTGTCGTTCAGCTTCCACCTCCTCAAAAAACGAAAGGAAGGGTATATCCATGCCAGCACACATCTCCGCTTCTCTCCTCTCCACCATCGAACGAAAGACCAAAACACAAAGTCGACGTGCCCGGCTCGTCGGCATCGGGCTGCGTGAACGCCTCCGGTGCGAGTAAGATAAAACGAAATCAAAATAGCCGGTCCCATCTCCCAATTCTATCCCTGTCGCTGGGCACATTTTGCCTGTGGCGAGATCCCATATCCTTGCGTTATCGAGAGTATAAGCAGACTAAACAAAAACGCAACATCCCTGCCTTCATGGCTTCTTCGCTCGTGCTTTTCCTGTTCCCAGTCGCGCGAAAGTAAAAGCATCGTCCTAAAAAGAAGTGCGTGGAAAAAGTTGTCTATGCCTCGTGTATCGATTTCGTGTCGTGGCCCTCGGGTCCGGTCGGCATCGATATCGTGCGTTGT